AAGATCATGTCTGTATCTATCTTACTTTCGAAGTTACAGAACAAGTCCCGGTGCGTTTGGGACACCTTATGTACACTTTACGCCGAAAAAGCGAACCTGAAACTTAAATGCGTTAACTTCCGAAAACGATATATAATCCAACGAAAATAAATAATTGGTACATAACAGCTTTCTTGTATGCAAAGAAAATAATTAAAAATGTTAAAAAAGAGATGTCAACACAAAATTACATAGCCCCTTCAATTCAGAAGATACTACAAACGAACTGTACCTTAACATTTTCATATCCCAGAAGCTAACGTTCCCATGACGAATATTGCTATCGCTAGCGATTGCAAAATCCAACTTGTTTCAGAATTGGAGTGTTTTTATCAGTGGTCGTAACATTTTTACGATGTGAAAATAAAGGAAAGTGGCAAGAGCTTAGTCAGTTCCTACGGAATGTTGAACTGCCACTGAATGTTGTATCGAATACATCAATTGGTTATAAAAACGTCAAGATAAGTTATGATCAATTCTGAGGCCGCTAAAGACAATAAACTCTTAAATGATCATGACTGACCGATTGTCTGCTGAATTTTGTGCGAATAAAAGAGCCCTAGTATGTGCTCTTCTAGGCAATTTCATAGACATTGAATAACTTTTAATGGCAGAAATGTAGATCCCACCCATTGGGAGGGGTTGACAAAGTTTTTCATAAATTTCTTGGAAGAAAATTTTAGAGGTCAGCGCTTAGAATTCAATCAATCCCGAAATGGATTTAAGGAACGCCTTTGTAATCCTTTAATTACACATTGACTATCATGATTTTTTCTTTATGTTTCAGGAACGAAAAATTTTATACTTGCTGTGATGAACCTTACCTAGACATAACTTTTAATATAACAATGAGAAGAAAAACGCTCTTCTACACTGTCAATATAATAATTCCCTGCATGGGAATCTCATTTCTCACCGTCCTAACTTTTTATTTGCCTTCAGATTCTGGAGAAAAAGTAAGTAGCCATTATACACACATCACCAATAGTTTTATATAAGCACATTTTTACCTCAGCTTATTATGAATTTCTCGATTAAATTTGGCAATAGCTAATGTAAATTGGTTCCTTTTTGCTTAAAGCGGTCCAAATATACCTCGTTTTATCTTCCAACTGAAGTATTTGGGCAACCCTCTCTGTACTTTTGATCTCCAATTGCCCATTTCCAATCTTCACTGCAACATTTACGTAAACCAATTTTCCTTGCTTACTTAATATTGGTTGCAGAATGTTCACTACCCTCGAAAAGTTGCCAAAAACTATTCCAGATCAAATCCGTGTCTGCGAAGTTGATCACGACAAAAAAAATTGTCATCAAGGATTCCCCCGATGGGTCTCCAAATGAGCTACCTTACCGTATCTTTACATCTATTTACGTTGCAGTATCTGCGAATTCAATGCGCATCATTAGAGCTAGGCCCACGCCTCATTAAAAGCTCAATCGTCCGAGACGGCGCTTTAGTGGAACTCGAAATTTCCGTCTCCTTGAAGAGGCAATTCAAGGATGATGAGATGCGAGATAAGAAAATGAGTGGAATCGTGCAATTTCAGACTGCCGCACAACGGGACAAGTCAATGTAAGAAGTCGGACAAAATTTTGAAACTTTAAAAGCTCATAACTCCATTTTTACTAAATGTGGAGGCTCTAAAAACGGTACCATTGGTTTTCTCGTGAAATTTACTTGAGCAAACACCCCTCGAACTTTAAAATCTTGCGGTATAAGCATCTAAATTTGTAGTTTTCGTCAAAATCTTCTTGTCCGACCTTTTCCATTGACGCGATCCACTGTGTGCCGCCGAGCGAATACCGGCGAGCAACGAACAACGGAAATATCTCCTTTCCAAATGCAAGCGTTGCCGTTACCAGGGATCGGAATATCTATTCCGTTCTACTGTAGTACCCTTGTAGCATTTTTCAACGGAAAAATCGGGATATTTTGAAATTGAGTTTCGATTTCTTACAATATTTTGGCGATAAAATTGCCAGGATTCTCATAACATCGCCGTCGATAACATTGCGATTTTATTGAAAAGTTATACAATGAAATCGCAATTCATCGCAGTTTTTTATCAGATAATATTGCGTAAATACTGCCTTGCTAAGGAAGAACGCCGTATGAACATTCGAGAGTTGTCAAATTTCCCCAAAGACAAACTCTCCATGCAAAGATAGGGAGGAAATACATTGACAGGGTTGCCGTGATTTCAGTTTTAGAGTCCCCAATTAAGGTGGCAACCCTGCTAACGTAATTGCTCCCTATCTTCGCATGAAGAGTTTGTCTTGATGCAGATGTGAACTCTCAGGATAGCGTGGGATATATCCCCTCAATTTTGGCCTCAACTTGAGAGCTTTTTTTTGAGCTTGGGAGTTGCTTTCAGAGAAAACCAGTGGCACCATCGTGTTTCTCGGGAACTTTTACAAAAGAATCAATAGTCAAATCGCAAATTCCTCACACATGCAACATCTTCATTGTGCGGATTGGAAATGTCAAGGAATTTTCTTTGTACTATGCAGAACATTCACTGAATTTAGCACAAAAATCCGCGCAACTGTTTTCATGTAAAAAATTAAATTACCCCATTAAATTTGGCAAAAGCTGATGTGACTTGGTGCCTTTCTGCTTAATGTGGTCCAAATGTGCTTTAATTCGCACGATTTTTGAGTATGAATTGACAACTGCGCGTCGCGAGGATCTTCAAAATGAAGACGCGGACCCGAAGACCCGAAGGGTGATGTTATCAGGCGAGGAGAGGAAGTGGCTTTTATGGGCCCGCGAAAGGGGCTTTAGGTGCAACCGTAAAACTTTACAGCGTAAACACGAGCTGTCAGAATTTCCATCAATCAGCGATGCCGAATCAGGTTCTGTCCCCATTTTTAGTCACTAATTGGACGTAGTTATGCTGGAACTATGGATATAGGATAGGGAACTATGGGGGAATCGATTGGGTGAATTTGCCGAAATTTTTCGTTTTCAGTATTGTAAAATCATGAAGAGAATTTAGTAAAAAGTTCAACAAATTCTATACATTTGGGATACATTGGGATTTTACATTGAATCAAAAGGAACTAAGCGCCAATTCGTGAACCGTGGACATGCGACAAGAGCGTTGTGGACAGGGCTCATGAGCTAAAGCCGAAAGAGACCAACAATGGAGACGGCTTCGTTGGATCTGACGTCACTGGCGCCTCAAAATCCCCATTCATTTTTACATAGGGTGTCCCAAAAGTACTGCCCCTTTTTCCGCAGAGGGCGAAAGAATGCAGATATCAAAATGCGGTTTGTGTGAGGTTATAGTCCTAGTAATTACCTATAAAACAAGACCAAGTTGAGCTCTGTAGCTTAAAATTTGACCGAGATACAGCATTTTGAAAGTGACGTGTCAAGGTGCCGCCTACGAGATTTTCAACATTTTTTACGAAAGAAAAAACCAAGTTTAAGAATGAAACGGTTTTAAAAAGAAGAAGAAGCGGCCAGAAACATATGGCAACACTGTGTTTTAGGCGGCATTTGGCAACGTGTAAGCGCCCCTATGCAGACCAACGACAGAATTGAAAGTGTCCGCTAGTGCCATCCAAGTTGGTCAAGCTTTCCCGGCACGTCAATCTGAGTTCATCCCTCTGTCGTTTTGGAAGTTTCTTTCGCGATGAGTACCGAATTAAGAAAAGAACAACACCACGTTATTCGTTATTGTTTTCGTCGAGGAATGTCAGTAAAAAACACTTTTAATGAAATGAAAGGCGTGTATAAAGACGACTGTTTGGACAGAAGTAGCATTGGTCGTTGGTTTAAATATTTTTCTGGCGGCCGCGAATCGACGGAAAGTCCCGCGAAACCGGGCCGACCGTCTACCTCCACCACAGACGAATTAATCGGTACCGTTGCTGCTGTTGTTCGAGGAGACCGTCATTTATCCTTGCGTAAGTTTCAGGTGTTGCTTGACATCTCAAAAAATTCATTGCACCTCTGTTCGTCCTAGGGTTCGTCCGTAAAAAAATGTTGAAAATCTCGTAGGCGGCACCTTGACACGTCACTTTCAAAATGCTGTATCTCGGTCAAATTTTAAGCTACAGAGCTCAACTTGGTCTTGTTTTATAGGTAATTACTAGGACTATAACCTCACACAAACCGCATTTTGATATCTGCATTCTTTCGCCCTCTGCGGAAAAAGGGGCAGTACTTTTGGGACACCCTATGTATGACCCTCGACTAATGAGCACACCCCATCTTTCCGCTTTCACACAGTTCTTTTTAGCATTAATACGTCCAATTGGGTGCGTTATGAAAAACGGAAACAGAATTTGTCAAGAAAGAAGAAACATGCATGTTGGGGTTGTATTCATCGGTGTTATTTAAACAGCACCTTTCCTTCGGAGGCCCAAATGGATTTATATTATAATGGGATAGTTTTAAGGAGATCTTAAACGTTGCATCATAGAAAAGAAAATTTTTACGGAGCTCGAGTAAAATTCATCAGTTTGACTTTCCTTACGAGGGATGTCACCCAGAGCAATAGCCGCTGATACAACTATTTTAACTCCAGCGTAGCTCAAATTGTATAGTTCTCAAAATTGAAGGAGCGCTGAGTTATGTGTTTTAATTTTTGTGAGCTCGTTAACATTCTGCACTTTTTTTTAGCAGTTTTCCGATTATAGGATCAAATCGGCGGTATAGGAGAAGGAAAGATGGGACAGTAAAAGTAAAAGAGGAGAGAGGAAAACTGGATTGCATTTTGCAAAAAAGGACCAAGAGTATTCCAATGTCGGTAAGATTGTGCAACGTTTTTACCTTGCAAATATAAACTTATCATCTGAACAAGTTTTATCTTTAATCATAATAAACTATAAATTCAAGGCGAATTTTTTCTTTGTAAATTTTATGTACTGTGCGATTTCAGTAATTTTATTGCAAAGAATGTTAGTTGCAAAATTCTAGCAACATCGGAACGCTCTTGGTTCCTACCTGCAAAATGGGATTCAATTTACTGTATACGTCTCAGGTGATTTTCAAAGAGCGCTCCCGCAACAAATGTAAGATACAAATGGAGCTATATTGCAAATTTTCCGAATTTGAAAGTAGGCCCCTACTTACTAGAAAAATTTGTCAAAATATATATAAAAAAAAAATTATTTTACTCACTGGAAAATCATCATGATCCCTTGGAGGGATCTGTTGCTACGCTACGAGCCTTCTGAGATCTCCTGCAGTCACAGTGTAAACTGGATTGCATTTTGCAAAAAGGAACCAGGAGCATTCCAATGTAGCTAAGATTGTGCATCTTTCCTCGCCCTGCAAATATAAACTGATCATTAATACAAGTTTTATCTTTACTCTCAATAAACTATGAATTCAAGATGAAAATTACCTTTGTAAATTTGATTGTTTTTATTATTTCAATAATTTTACTGTAAAGAATGTATGTTGCCCAATCCTAGCAACATTGGAGTGCTCTTGGTTCATTTTTTCAAAATGCAATCCAACTATGGGGCCTCTCATGGAAAGGAACTGTTCAAAGAACGGCTATGAGTAAGTCCCTTTGATGCTGAAGGAATGCATACGGTCGTCTTCGAAGCGGCCGCGCTTTTAGTAGTGGCATGACTTGCTTTGCGATGAATCGATTGGTCTGTCATTTAAGGTGATTCGTTAAGCTCAAGAGAAGTGGTCAAACTGGCATGCGTTATATCGCATCGATTAGGTCAAAAATCTCAGCAAATTTGGAATTTTTAGCAAAATAAAGGACGATAGCCCCTGCGCATGAGCCTAAAGAATCGTTCTAAACTCAAAATTTGGCAAAATCCAAAGAAATGAAAGCAAGATAGTGTTTGGAAAAAAACCTCGCATTCGATTTAGATATTCGATTTCTGTATCGAATGCGAGGTTTTTTCCCAAACACTATCCGCTTCCATTTCTCTGAATTTTGCCGATTTTTGGGTTTAGAATATGATTCTTTAGGCTCATGCGCAGAGGCTATCGTCCTTTTTTTGCTAAAAATTCAAAATCTGCCTAGATTTTTTTTACCTAATCGATGCGATATATCGCATGCCAGTTCGACCACGTCGGTCGTTGAGCTTGACGAATCACCTCAAACGTATGGTAAAGGATTGATTATCAGTGTTTCATCAAAGAACGCCCTAACTCAGGCCAGATTCCAGCGAATGCACGTGGCAACCTCGATTCCGTCTAACACCACCGCGCCTAATAAATCTGTCGGAGGCAGCAATCGAAGTATCTCCGAGATCCACAATCAAAGTTCTCGGTGACGTCATTAATGCACCTCATTATTCGAACTTCCGCAGGAGGGACCCTTTTATAGGTTTCACCTGTTTTTGGTCCGCGATCCCTCCCCCGCCCACGCCTATCCTCCCAACCCTTTCGCAACTTCAACTCACGCTTATTCACCCCACTTGACTCGCTCTGTGCCCCCTTTTTTTCCTACCAACTTCAACCTTTCGACAAACTTCTACCTTTCGACAAACTTCCGGCAGTGGCGTGGCGTGAAGAATTGATTATCGATATCTCGCCATTTGAAGCTATGGTAAAGAATCGATTACTAAGGTGTTCGCTGCGAAAACCCCGATAATCGATCTTTTTTCATAGGTTTGAATGGCATAACAATCGATACATCGCAATCCACGCCACGCCACTGCTTCCGATGCCGCGAAGGGCAATCTCTATTTACTTATCTTTGAAATTTTTAACTCAACTCGAGCCCGGAAAGATAATTGATCAAAAAACTGTTTGCTCTTTGGAAAAGGTCGCTCTTCGAAAAAAAGAAAAAAATGGGGGAATAAGCGTAACCGCGGACTGTTTATTGGCATCTCTNTCTTTGGGGGGGGGGGGGGAGGGAATGCATCCGAAAACACTTGAGGAAAGTAATCAAAACTCCCTCAGAAAAACATCGCGACAAAGAAAACTTTGATGCAGAAGTGCTCGAACTTTAGCCGCGCCCCGAAAAAGCACTCCTGAGCCTCTTTATTGGGGACGCTCTTTGCCCATGTGTCGAAGTATGAAATACTTCCCTTTTAAACTCCCTCCGAGGAACTGGAACTCGAAAAACAATCGTGTACACGGAAATATGAAAAACTGAAAGTTCGAGAGAACTCAAACGTATTAAATGTCTGTGCGAGCGTAGGGTTTAAAAGGTGATTCGATAGACGTCATATTTTGTGTCAGAACGGCATGCGATATATCGCATCAATTGGTTCTATTTTTTCAGCTACTCGTCATTTTTCTCCAATTTTGAGATCGCAATTCTGTTGTCAGGAGACTAAAGCACTCGCTTACCAATTTTAACAAAGAATTTCAACGTAATAAAGGCGTGTTTTTTTTTAGAGAGAAAACATCGCATTCGATACTGATATCGAAACTGCACTCGAATGCTATATTTTCTCTTTAAAAAAACCACGCCCTTAGATTACGTTGAATTTCTTTGTTAAAATTGGTAAGTGAGTGCTTTAGTCTCCTGACAACAGAATTGCGATCTCAAAATTGGAGAAAAATGACGAGTAGCGGAATCAGTGGAACCAATTGATGCGATATATCGCATGCCGTTATGACACAAAATATGACGTCCAGCAGTAAATGGAAAGAGTAGAAATTCACTGTTTACTGCGTGGTATGGTATGGGCATGTGCAGAGAATGGCTGAAACCAGGTTGCCGAAGAAGGTGTTGGAGTGGGTCCCCCCAGGTAGGCGACGGAAGGGCGTCCAGTCAAACTGTGGGTAGAGGGCATCCGTGAAGAGATGGAGAGGTGCCAGCTTCCGGAGGATCTCTACCATGACAGATTCCTGTGGAGAGTAGGCGTTGCAGAGCGCTCTAGCGTGCCGTAAAAGCGGCTCATTTATACATATTGCGTGGTTTTACTATGTGCTGGTCATGGGCGTACGAAGGGGGGGGGGTCCAGGGGGTTGGTCGCCCCAGAATTGAAAATAGTATCAGCTGCCCCCAGAAATTCTGAATGGTAAGGGAAAGAAACCTTTGTCGAGGATGATTTATCTTTTAGAGTCTTAAATGAAAACACCGTGTTCGTTCAGTTAGTATCTTCTAAAATTCTCGTCATGGAAGCCTCGAAATGCGTCCAAATAGAGATAAAATTTCAAAAAATTTCCGGTGGAGGCCCCAGATCCCCCCTTCTAAACTGAGGGTTTTTCATATCCCCCAGGCTCCCGGTGGTGGTGGGGCAGCCCGCCTAGCAAAATGACCTACGTTCGCCTATGTGAGTGTTGCCTGTATTTCAGGGGCATATCGACGGTGAAACTACCAAACCACGTATCTCGTTTGCGGTGTTTAAAAATCTACGCTCACATTTTATTTTTTTGAAGTAGACCAAATCAATATCATTCCTTGAAATTTTCACGGAATTTTCTCCGCACAAAGTGGAAAAATCACAGAAATTTTCAAGACTGGATGTTGAGTAGTTTTTCATTTAAAAAATAAAGTATGACAGGAAGTCTGCGACGTCGCAAACCGAGATACGTGGTTTGGTAGTTTCACCGTCGATATGTAATTACAAATTACATTTATAGGCTGTTTCTTGTATTCTGTCTTGCTAAGGAGGGACGCCGCACACGTCTCCAGACGTAGCCGAATTTCCTTTGATAAAATACGCATTTTTCGAGAAATCTGCGAAAGTTTTCCCTCCAATTTTTCAGGGAATTTTATTTGCTATCAGATCTAAAGTATCTGAAAATTTTAAGAGAAAGCAAACATGATAACTCCTTAAAAATAACATTTTGTTGAAGGAAACTTAGCAATTCTCGGATGTTGATACGGCGTTTTTCCTTGGCATGGTAGTATTTTAGAGACCATTCATTAAATATATCTCATGGAGAGATGCCTATGTAAAAGGAAGCTTGGGCCTTCTAACTTTTCGGTTTGCTGACTGAACCATTGTTGAATTGGAGAGATTTCTTTTGATGGAAGGCAGAATGAATCATTTTTAAAGCAACTCGCACAGCTTCGAAAATCGCAACACCTTCATAATTAAAATTATCAGTTAACTGGAAGAACGACGAGGGCTAACTCCCAATGTTCCTAAATTACCTTTAAGGTTCTATTCAGTAGAAAAAGTTCAGTTGACATTTAATCTAAGTTTTTTTTAAGTATGAAAAAAGTTGTGTGGACAGCGTCAAATAATCTGCTTCAGAGAATATTTGTCCATGTTATTCTGGTCCTCTAGTTAAACTTACAGTAATTAAGTTTGTCATTTTTACGTTAGTCACGTGATTTTGTAAGCATCTAATTTGTTGAGAAAAGATACTGATGACGGGAAGTCTACGGAATCACGAACCGGGATAAGGGAATTCTGAGCCAGATACAAAATGGACAGTTAGCAAATTAATGTTTGTGAACGTAAAGCTTTAAAGTGCCGCGACTTCAAAAGGTTCCATAATGAGGAGGGTGTAAAACGAAAAGTACCTAAAATCCTGTCAAATGAAAGCAATGAAAACAGTGAGAGTGATGAATTGAATAATCGTACCTTGTTAAAATTCACGGCACACCGCCGGGAACGTCACAGAATGCAAATTTAGCATCCGCATCTAGAGACTCGCTTCGCCCTGACTTGCGTCATCATCTCTGACGACGTCACCTCAACAGAGCCTCGAAGACGATTTTGTAAATATTGTGGCCTCGAAAATTTCAGAAGGAGGAGAAAATATGAGTATTACCTACCTACATCCGGCAAAAACCAACGTCAATCATTATATTAGACGTTTCAACTCGAGCAAATTCAATTTTGCGTAGAGTCCTTTTATACCGATAGTAATGACAGTACGAACCCATATCTGATCGGTTCCCGTATTTTAGGCCTCCTCAGTGTCACAAACGTGTTCAACTATTGAAATCAGAGGATTTTGAATACGTTTCCTTTTAAATCGGCGAAACCAAAATAAGTATGGTAATTTTGAAACACTTGGAAAGGTACAATTTAAAGCACTTGCGTTCGCATGTTTTCCATTCAAAATGTTACATAAAAAATTAGCCGCGCAGTAAAAATATTAAAAATTGACCTCTACAGAGGAGGAAAATTTTTACACAAACATTCCCATTATTTATTCGACCAAACTACTAATACTATGATCTGCACTCTAATGGAGCAAGGTCAAGTGCAAATAATTTTTAAAATCTATAGGAGTCGATTTCTCAAACGAGGAGTAAAAATAAACAAGTGGTACGGAATATAACAAAAGAATATGAACTATGCAAAACGATAATCCGGGTATCGGAACTTGGCTGTTTTGAAAACGCCTTCAAATGCGGCGTGATACCTCAGGCATTCCGGAGAGTTCAAATAGTTGTATCATTGCGCCTTAGAAATGCGACGGAAGATCATACAATTGAGGACACCGCACCAAGAACAGCCTGTAGGTGTGGTGTATAGGTCGTTATTACGCTCTGTTGCGTTCTTTCTGTTGCGTGAATAGCTTTTTAAATTAAATATTGAGGAAAAAGCATTTAATCTGATAGTTTAATTCATACCATGTCTGGTGAGTGGTTCATCATATGTTTTGATTCTCTGTGTTAGTCGAAAATCTCCTTCATTTGCATCTTCCTGTATCAAGATGTGCAATGCCTTCTTTAGAGCACTGTCACTGACTGATTTTGTGATTTTGTTTTGTTACAGGTTACCTTATCGATATCCATTTTGATTAGTCTCCATGTGTTCTTTCTCCTGGTTGTAGAAATCATCCCCCCAACCTCTCTAGTTATACCACTCTTAGGAAAATACCTCATATTCGCCATGATACTTGTTTCGATAAGGTAAGTAAAAAAGAAAATAAATATTACGTACTGATTTAAAGAGTCTAACTTTGTCTACATACAGTTAATTTAAATTGTTTAGTGTATCCTTCATTTTTTTTTTCATCTCGTCTTCTTCCTTGAAAACCTCACTCTGATCTATTACTGTTCTATGCGTGAGAAAGACAGGCAATTTACATTGCTAGAAAACTTACAACCTACTTTGATTTTATTGCAATAAATATCAATAAGAGAAGCCCCTTCAACCAGTGAATAGTCAACATACACAACACTTCGATACGATAGCAATCATTTTACCGTGTAATTGAAATGTATTGCAATCCGCGCCCCTGGGGTGGTAGTGATCGTGGCGAAATTTCATCTCGAGTCAATTTATGTAAATCCATAATCTTCACTGGAAAAAAAAACACATTGGATCTAGAGTCCAGACTCTTAAAAACATCGACAAGAAAAAATAATCTTGATTCAATCGGATTTTTGCTTAAATCAAGAATCAAGCCTCTTAATTTGAGCGGATTTCCTTTTGATTTAAGCAAAAATCCTATTGAATCTCTCCACTGCGCCTTATCGAGTAAAAAAAGAGTACTTACAAAGCAAGAAAACTTGCAACCTATTTCAATTTTACTGCAATACATATCCATAAGAGATCCTTTGGTCAGTGAAAAGTCAACATATACGACACTCCGATACAATGGCAATCATCTCACTATGTAATTATTGCAATCTACGCTCCTAGAAAAGTACTAATCCTATGTAATCCTATAGCAAAATTTCATCTCGGATCATCATATTCAAATTCATAATCTTGTGAAGACCCCACTGCAACTACTCGAGTCAAACATCAACCTCCTCACAGATGAGAAATACAAAAGTAGGTACCTAAATGAGAAGGTAATTTCCGCCGACTTGACGATATGCCGGAAGCACGGAGCTTTTTTTCCGCTTAAAGAGAAAATTCCAGACTTGCAATGCGCTCATTGTAATTTTCGAGCGATTTTACGCAAGGAACATCTCTTAGCTACTCGGAACAATAGCAGAAGTTCTCAACGGCCCTATTTTGCACTAAACGGCTCTTGGGCAAAACTGATAAAGATACGGGGTAGAGAGAGAATTTTCTGGATGAGCCGCGCACAAAACGTTGCTGTTCTGGCGCGAGGGCGTATCTCGATTTCTGGTTGAGCCCTGGAATACACTGATTTATACTTAAACCAGGGCTCATGTGGAAATTGAGATACGCGCTTACGTCGGGGGAGAGACGAAAAGTGCACTGACGACCGGTGAAGGGACAGCAGAGCGAAATCGGTAGATCTCAAAGCCGAATGTGTCTGCAAAAAGATGAGCCCTAGAGTAAATACACTCCTATGGACCTTAAGGTTCGTAAAAAATTGAGTTGTTTCGTTCCAGCATTTACCGTTTGGGAGCGATCGGAGAAGAAAAGGCGCGCAAAAAGCGGGGCGGGGAAAGCCGCACAGTGGGATGAGAATGAGCAATTGGGAGAGGTCGAAGATAGAATTTTTTATTCGAACGGCAAATTTTTATGTTTTCCCGTCACTTTGTAAATTTTAAACGGTGCTTTAGTCAGGAAATTTTACGATGAAACCAATGACATCGTTCTTGAACTTGACCTGACTTGTCCTTAAAACAATGAAACAGTTCTTACAAAAGATACAGTGCAGTTTAATGTCACTACTTTAACAGCTCTTCTGCTGAGGAGGGTTCTAGACGGTTTTTATTGTGATATAAGGCAGATATTTTGATTGATTTGCTGCTAAAATTTATGATCCTTAAAATTTGAAAAATCTTTTTTTTTATTTTATTTAACAAGTTAAATCACTGAGCACAAAAAATAAACTGTAAAATACTTAGTAATATTACATTGTAACACAGTTAAACTATAGTCTTACACCGAAAAAAAAGCGATGTTGATTCAACATTCTGGATGTAAAAAAGTGTGCGACAACTCACAAGACGCTGAATCAATCGCCACAACAGCTAGTTTTACATCTTGACATGGCTAAAAAAACTATAGTGGTTAATTCAGCGTTTTGTGAGTTGCCGCACACCTTTTTTACATCCAGAATGATAAATCAGCATCTCTTTTTTTTTCGGTGAATTAACACTGAAAAAACTGTTTGGAACTTGTTGACAGCCTTCTGTTGACACACCGGAACCGCCCTCTGGCATTGCATTGGTGGATTTGTTGAATTCTTGGATCTTTATTTTCAATATTGTCGTTATCAACTCCTCTATGATTTTCCAGTTCTCTTTACTTTCTATCATAATTTCAGTAATTGATAAATCTGTTGTCCAGTTCTCTTTACTTTCTATCATAATTTCAGTAAATTGATAAATCTGTTGTGATATGTAAATGATCACTGATTTTGGAGCGAGATTTTAGCAGCGCGGTGTGGTGGATTTTTTCAGAACTAACGCTCACCAACGCCGAAGATTAATTTAAAGCCTCCCTCAATCATAATGCAAAGCAAATGGGGCTTCCTAAGAAGCTGTTTAAGAAACGACCATGAATACAACCCTTTCTCCTCCCACTGTGCGACGGAGAAGGAAAACAATTAAGTCGTCTTAGTGAGACTGCAACCGCCTTCCGAGGCCAATTACCGGGCGGATGAATATTTTACTCCGGATCCGAGGCAGGCATTGAGCAGGAACTAAGCGAGTAATTTAGCACAACTCGCGCCCCGCGCCCGAACCTGATGTACCCTTAATATTTCACAAGCATCGGGCACCTTTCAAACCGTCCCCCTCCACCGAAAAAATGTCACAGTTCTCACGCCTGAATTGAATGACGCCGAAATGATTCGCACGGTGCTCCCACTCCATGACCGTCAAAAGTTCCGGGATTCCTTTTAGATCTTTTGGAAAATTCCGAGAAAGTTCTGGAAAATTCAAAAGATCCGGAACATTTAAGGGATTTCAAAAGTTCCGGCAAAAATATAAAAAAAATCTCAAAAGTTCCGGGATTCCTTTTAGATTTTTTTGAAAAATTCCGAGAAAGTCCGGAAAATTCAAAAGATCCGGAACATTTAAGGAATTTCAAAAGTTCCGAGAAAAATTCAGGAAAATCTCAAAAGTCCCGGCATTTGGAACTAGTTCCGGGATTCCTTTTAGATTTTTTGAAAACTTCCGAGAAAGTTCCGGAAAATTCAAAAGATCCGGAACATTTAAGGAATTCCAAAAGTTCCGGCGAAAATACAAGAAAATCTCAATAGTCCCGCCTTTCGGAACTAGTTCCGGGAAATGGGAGCTCTGGATTTGTGGTTTCAGGACATTCCGTCATCGAGTTTTTGTCCGCGAACTTGTTTTGTCCAGTAGTTTACGTCCACGCGTAAAATAAGAGTTGTGTTGAAAGAAACTTTAAAAAAATGAATATAAAAGGGTAAAAAACCAAAAGATAAAAGAAATAATTAAAGTACTGTGGGGATCATTAAATTTGACACGGAAGCACCTTAATATTTGCAAAACTTATTTTATAATTTCCTTTAATACATTTTTTTTTTATCAATTTAAATGAGGAAAATTTTAATGAGGGCGGGGACGTCCCGTAAAGGGTTGGCGGCAGGGCGTTGACGAAGAGATGTTGCGGTGTCAGTTGCCCGATAACCTCTGGGAAGACAGGCATATGTGACGTTTGGGTGTCGTAGAACGCCAGAGTGCGTTATAAAGCGACTTCATATATAAATGAGGAAAATCCATGCAGAATGTACAAAAATTTCAAAATCATGAGCTGAAAAACGCCGATCCGCGATTTTAATTATTAGAGCCAAATACAGAGCGAAGCGGCGTGCTACCGGTACCAAACGCGCACTAACGCCTTCAAACCTAAGGGAACACTTCACGCATTGCGCAATGCTTGAAGTATCCCCTTAGGTTTGTAGGCGTCAATGCGCGTTGGGACTTGGCCAGCCGGCCGCCACGCCGCAGCGTGCCACGGCGCTTCAAGCAACTATTTCACAACAGAGGTGTTGCACAGTATCAAACGAAATTGAAGGCGCTCCAACATTTGAAGAATGATAGGCATTCTTCCAGAGTACAGAGCTTTCCTCGCAAAATAAATCAAGGTACTACGGCACGAACTCCCCTGCCGAGAAAAACGCGTGGACATAAATTATTAGAAGAACCAGATGTGCGGACAAAAAATCGTTGTCGAAATTTCATTGAACCGGATTCGTAGTATAACGTATAGAGACGGGTGTATCGAATGGCGTGGCATGGTGTGAATTAGAGTTCCTTTATACTGAGAGTTAAGACAATGTGAATCTATTTCTGATTGGTGCCCGTATTTTAGGTTTAGGCCCCCATTGTGTCACAAACGGGAATGAAGATTACATTTTCACCAATTGCAAAGAATATTACCTGGAATGGACCGGGGAATTACGGGTTTGGCAAGGAACAAACGGAAATAGAGAAAGAACAAAGAAAGAAATCTGAGAATGAGCCGATCAAAGATTACAAAAAACTATCAATTTGTGTAATCTTCATTCCCGTTTGTGACTCCTAGAGTCAGACTGGTAAGCTTACCTAAAAACCGGTATTTTTACTGTTTTTTCAGGTAAGAATACCACTTTTATTGGTAATCAATTCCCGGTAACTTTGCCATTATATCTCGGTAATTCTACCACAGTTGATAAAAAATATTGGCGTTTTTACCAAGGTCCAGTAAAATTACCGAGAAAGTTCAATAATTTTACAGAGATTTCTTGGTAAAATTACCAATTCCATAAATGGTAATTTTACCAAGAAATAACTGAGATCAAATAGAACCCTGAATTCTTGGTAATTTTACCCTTTTCTTAGTAAATACACCGAGATTTTTTTTTCAGTGAGCCCCTCATATTTACTTTCTGGTGAGTAATGCAAGTTGAGATCACGAGATTAAAGGCGGTAAAATGACGATAACTTTCGGTTACGCATTAAATCCGAAATCCGTATCAGAGAGACTTCGGAATGAGTATGCCACGAGGGTGCAAAAAACCGACGACGAG